CTACTAGGGAAGGTGGGAAGGTGCCCTAGATCCCGGAGCATCGAGGATCATCAGGATTTGAATCCCAGCTCTGCACATTAGTATGCTTCCTTTGGGAGCAGGTTGCATACCTCCCTGACTCTGTTTTCTTATATGAACAATGTGAATTACGGTATCTGCCTCCAGAGAAGTTGGCAAGGAACAAAACAAGGGCGTGTGAGGGGTTTGGAGTTTAGAGGGTTGTTTTTGGTATTAGTAAGCATTCACGTGTTTGTTGGATCGAGGGAGTTCTTAACTTTTGTGAGCAAGTTCTGATATTACTGTCTAAATTGATTGCATATCCTTCCCAGTCTTCCCACAAGACTTTCAGAATCAAGAGGTTCCTGGCCAAGAAACAAAAGCAGAATCGGCCCATTCCACAATGGATTCGGATGAAAACTGGTAATAAAATCAGGTAAGGATACCACTTTCCTGTTGTTGTTTTTCAATTTAAGATTGCTTTGGGGGCATAAATATACAATTAAAAGTTATACTTAATTCAATTTATCCTGTACCACCACTCTGATTTTTTTTCTGAATGTGTTTCCTCTGGATTTCTGGACAGTACCCAGCCCGCAGCTGGGCTTAGATACTCCTCCAGTATTTGTTAATTTTCTGGTTGTCTTCCTTCTGGGCCAGAATGTAAGATGAAAGTATGTCTCATTACACATCCCAGCAGGGAAGACCATGATGCTCACCCAATCCATCTTGAGTGTTTTTACCTTGTTAAAGATCAGAATAGTGCCCTCCACTGCAGAAGTAGTTGAATTGATGGCTTTGGAAGAAAGACATTAGAATTGCTACAAAGTACCTCCAATCCAAGGTCATCTAGGCCAACTCCATGCCTTTCATCCCACTGCTCTTAGGAGACCAGGTGGACCTTGATATAAGTCTTGAAGGGAGGGAAAGTAAGCATGGAAAATGTGTGAAATTTGCCCAAAGGCTCACAGCCAGTGACAACCCTGGTGTGTTTAACAGCAAGCAACATGTGACAATCACTGCCCACTATAGCTTTATATGCCACTTGTTTTCCACTTTTGGTTTATTGGGTACTAAACACTAGTCTTTTTTATTTATGCATATTAATGTGTATGGGGAATGTCTCATTGTTACAGGTGCAACTAGAATTTAAAGCACATGGTGTTGCCATCATACAGTACTGAGAAAAGAGCATTGAGTCACTTGGTGAAATGGTTTGTTTGGCAGCTCAGCCCTTCTACAAGTTTGATGGATTTCTGTTGAGAACATCAGGCATCCATAGTAAAGCCACCACTACCACCACCACCCCACCCCCCCTTTTTTTTTTTTTTTTTTTTTTTTAAATATAGCGACATGAATATCAGTTTCTCTGGTGATGGTGGGACCTGCCTTTGGGTTGTTCTAAGGAATGAAAGAAATGTATGTGAAGCTTGGTGCCTGCAATTATCAGTATTAGCCTTTCTATCAACTCAGCAGTCGTCCAGCTTTTGAAATGTATTAAAAGCAGGTTGCAATTACAGTGCTTCATTTTGTGGAAGTACTGCCATTATCCTGCTGAAAGAAAATCTTGTGTCAGTCATATTTGATTTTTGCCTTTATGAGGGTAAAATCATGACAGATTGACATGCACAATTCAGAGATGACCTTAGCTCTGCAAATCACTTGTTTGATATTAAAGTGAGTGCAAGTGTTAATGTATTATAAAAATTATGCAGGAACTGTGTGTGTGTGTGTCCCATTATTATGTAGGAATGGCTGTTTTTGATGTAGTTCAAAATAGATATGTCTCTAGGTCTGCCCTAAGTCTGTTGAATCAGAGTTAGGTGAGTATACACTTGGGGAGGGAAGAGACCTTCACCACCGCTCCAGTACCAGTTAAGAACCAGTGTTTTCCTACCCTGGAATCATTTTGAGAGGTAAAAATTTGATTTGACTAGTTCTTAAACATCTAGCAAATCATTTTTTACTCTCCAAAAAGAGCTCCAAACATGAACGGAAAGAAGCCGGACCCTTTGCCTTTCAAGGATATTGTGGTACTTAAAAGGCAAAGTTTGTGGTGAATGAGAGCAGCTGAATTGAGGTCAGGCTGTCTTTGTAACTTGCATTTTCCTTCTGTGTAGGTACAACTCCAAGAGGAGACATTGGAGAAGAACCAAACTGGGTCTGNTTGCATTTTCCTTCTGTGTAGGTACAACTCCAAGAGGAGACATTGGAGAAGAACCAAACTGGGTCTGTAAGGAATCACACATGAGAAATGGCTCACATTTATGCTGTATCCAGGTTGCCTGCATCTTTAAATGACTGAAAAGATCACTACTGTCTGGACAGTTGAGCATCTTGTGGAATTATTGGAAGAATGATTTCTCTTTTTTTTTTCCTCCTGTAATAGCTTGGTTCAGTAATAAATGTGAGACCTTTGAAACTGCTTTGTATTCTGGTTTGTGAGTATTCAATGATACAAATGTTCTCTAGCTAGTAAGTACTTAAGTATAGCTAGTGTGAGTAAGGAACTGATTTTTTAATTTTTAAGAGAGAAACATCAATCAGTTGCTTCTCATACACACCCTGACCAAGAATCGAACTCGTGATTGAACCAGAGATTGACAAACTGGTCTGCCTGTTTTCGTATGGTCTATGAACTAAGTTTCTGCTATTTTATAAAATACGTTTATTGATTTCAGAGAGAGGAGGGGAGAGAGAAGCAATGATAGTCATTGATCAGCTGCCTCCTGTACACCCCCTGCTGGGGATCCAGCCCGAAACCAGTTTGTGCCCTGACATCCTGGTTCATGGGTCAACACTCAACCACTGAGCTACACCGGCTGTGCTCTGCAATTTTAAATGGTTGAAAAAATCAAAAGAATATTTTGACAATTAAAATTTACTGGATATTTATGTGGTAGGCACTATTCTAAGTACTTTGGATTAATCAGTCAGTATACAAATACGTCGTATGTTAGGCTAATAATAGGCCATTATACAAATCATATCAAATGTCTGGAAAAGGTGTTAAGTAACAAGTGTCCTTATTACCTGTGGAATTACCATAAAACTGAAGCAAGGGAAGGAGTTCTAAAGGTCTGAATCTCAGCTGGGAGAAGGGCTCGTTCACTTTTCCCTCCGGTCCAGAGGTAGTAACTGCTTTCAATGATACTATTAAGTTTTTCTTGTTTAAATTACTGGCATGTGGTTCCTCCTAATTTGAATTTGACTTACATGGCGTGAAATGATACCAGTTTTAGGGCTATGTGACATCACAGCAAACTGCAAGAGAATTTAGTTGTCTACTATTACACCAGATATTAGAGATTGCAAAAAAACATAGAACACATCTCATTAAAAATAAAAATACTAGTTTCAGGTATACAACATAGTGATTACACATTTATATAGTTTACCAAGTATTCACTTTGATAAGTCCAGTACCCATCTGACCTCACACGTAGTTATTACAATGTTATTGACTTTTTTAGAGAAGCACTGATTTGTTCCATTTATTTTTGCATTCATTGGTTGATTCTTGTATGTGCCCTGACCAGGTATCAAACCTGCAACCTTGGTGTGTTGGGACAATGCTTTTATCAGAGTCATTCCATTGTATATAGACACCATTTTATCCATTTATCTGTTGATGAACACTTAGGTTGCTTCCATGTCTTGGCTATTTTAAATAATGCTGCAATGAATGTATGAATATATACATCTTTTCAAATTATTTTGTGTTTCTTCAGGTAAATACCCAGAAGTGGAATTGCTGGGTCCTTTGTGTCTTGTTACAGCCTTTGTTTTTTATGTTATTAATCCTCAACCAGATGGTACTTTTTCCATTGATTTCTTTTTTTTTAAATATATCTTTATTGATTTCATGGAGAGGAAAGGAGAGGGATAGAGAGAAACATCAATGATGAGTGGAGCTGGGACCCCTTGCTCCTCACCGGGCACCTCTGAAGCTGATAAAATACCTGATTTTAAATGCCACACATGGGTGTGGGACCAGCCCGATCTGCATCTCCACCCCTCCTACCAGTCTCCATGTGGCTTCTGTATATCCTTAGTTATAGGACTTCAGTTAGACTTCAGGCAGTTTTCGATGATGATTCTGTAGTTGTAATTTTGATGTCATGGGAGGAGGCAAGTACAGCGCTTCGCCATCTTGACTAGAAACCTATTTACATTTACTGTTTTAAAGTCAAACATTTAAACAGATACCTCAACGTCACTATTCAGAGTAGGTTGGGATGTCTACTGGGCCTAGGGAGTTTGTAACAAGGTCAAGGTCACTAATGCCAAAAGTGACACGGGCACCAATGTTTGTTGGTTTCTTTTGAGTCTGGCAGCCAGACACAGGTTCTGGTTCCAGTGGCCCCTCACTAGGTTGTACAATTACTAGTAGTTTTCCTCATCTGAAGGACTAGATCTGTGCTTCCTAAAGAGCGGAATGGGAACAGGATTTATGTTTACCCACAAGAAGTACAGTCTAAGATGTCAGCTTTTGCAAGATAACGCAGTTAACTGGTGATTCCCTTGATGGCCTACTGAGAAGCAGGCAGCAGCAGAGCGGTGGTCAGGAGTTAAGATTCAAATCTTGTTATTCACCATCTGTAAGCCTCAGTGTTATCTGCAGCCTGAGGCCAGTGGGACCTCCCACAGAGGGCTGTGAGGATAGAGTGTAATAATGCACTAAAGCACTTGGTTCAGTGCCTGGCTAGGAAAAGCGGAATGGGGAGTGAGCAGGAGGAAAGTTTTGATGTGGATCCCTCCCCAGCATACATGTGCTATATGCTGGAGGAAGCTAAAATAAGACAGCGGGCCTGGCCGGGCGTGGCTCAGCGGTTGAGCATTGACCTAGGATCCAGGAGATTGCGGTTCAATTCTGGGTCAGGGCACAGGCCCGGGTTGCAGGCTCCATCCCCAGTCGGGGGTGTGCAGGAGGCAGCCGATCAGTGACTCTCATCATTGATGTTTCTGAAATATATAAAGATATATAAGGAAAAAGACAACGGGATGGGGCAGCTCCTCATGGGAGAAGTCAGGCGGAGATGGTGCTCACGGACAGGCTACTTGGGGTGCTTGTCCGAATCTTGATGGGACTGTGGCAGGAGCAGCAGGACAGGATGTAGTCTCAGCCTGACCCTAAGTGAAACTTCTCTTGATCAACTTGAAGAATTTAGATTCCACAAGAGCTGATAATTCAGATGTTTTGGAGATGTTTCATAAAGATATGCATATAATAGTAAGGGGTCCTGGCCGATGTGGCTCAGTAGTTAGAGCGTCGGCCTGCCCACCCAAGGGCTGCTGCAGTTCAAATTCCTGGTCAACGGCATGTACCTGGGTTGCAGGTTTGATTCCCAGCCCCAAGCCTGTTTGGGATGTGCAGAAGGCAACCAATCGAAGTGTCTCTCACATTGATGTCTCTCCTTCCACCCCCTCTTCCACTCTAAAAATCAATGAAAAAAATATCATTGGGTAAGGATTAACAACAACAAAAATAGTAAGGGAAATGATACCAAAACACCAAAAAAGCAAACACCAGCCAAATAGGCCAGGCCAGAGTAATTTTTTAGAAAAAGCAAAGGAAAAGGGAAAGTTAAAAAGTTAACATGCTTTTGTAATTAGAAACCTCAGTACTATCAATACTAGAATTATAAGCTGTTTTTTAAGTTCTTTTGAATTATAGCATACATAAAGAAAAGTGTACTTATAATTGTATTGCCCTGGCCGGTTTGGCTCAGTGGTTAGAGTGTTGGCCTGTGGGTTGAAGGGTCCTGGGTTCGATTTCAAACAAGAGTGCGTACCTCGATTGCAGGCTCAATCACCCCGCCCTGATGGGAGGCAACCAATGGATGTGTCTCTGTCACATCGATGTTTCTATCTCCCCCTTCCACACTCTCTGAAAAGCAATGGAAAAAATGTCCTTGGGTGAGCATTAAAAAAAAAAAAGTGTATAGCATGATAAGTTTTCACAGGGTAAATCCAGTCATGTCATTACCACCCAGATCAGGAGACAGGACATGATTAGTATCCCAGAAGCCCTTCCTTGGGCCCCCTTACAGTCACCATCATCCCCAAGATTTAACCACTGTCCTAACATCTAACAGCATAGATTAGCCTTGCCTCCTTTTGCATTGTATGTAAATGGAATAATAAGCTGCACTTTTGTTTCTTGCTTTTGCTCACTCACCATCACGTCATATTGACCCTAGTTATTGTGTGCAGTTGTTCATTGTTTTCATTGCTGCATAGTGTTCTGGTGTGTGCGTGCACTACAATTTACTTCCCCATTTTCCTGTTGATGGGCATTTATATAGTTTCCAGTTTGGGGCTTTACCACTAGTGCTGCTGTGAACATCTTTGTACATATCCTTTGTCAAACATATGCATCTCATTACAGGTGATTTAGTCTTCGTTTTTATATTTCTTAGGCTGTATAGATACAACAAAAATGCTTTTATAACGAAAATAAAAAGTAATTAAAATTTCTACAATGAATGCTTTATAATCTGAAAAAATGTTTTTTAAAGAACAGGAAAATTAAGCATAACTTTCAGGGTTAGAATAGAGCCACTCAAATATGTTGCTTTTTTTTAAGGCAGAAGAAGGGAATCTAATACAAGCCTTCAAAGAGGTCTCATATGGAACCCAGGGCAGGGGACAGCCAGGCTTCAAAAAGAACCAGAATGAGGGATTTGAAGGCATTGAAAAGCCAGGCAGCCTGCTCTCCCTCTTAGGACCCTTCTTACAGCTTCTTTCTGCGTGATCGCTTTACTCTTGTCCCTCTGGGCAGATCTGCTTCCTCTGCTTCTCTTAGCACAAGGCCAAACGTGGCCTTCTCTCTGTCTCAGGTTAGGGGGCCCGAGGAAGCGGGTGAGAATCGCTGAATCCCAATAGCATGATCTTGACAGGGCGAGCCTGAGTGGCCCAGCCAAGAGTCAGTCAGCTGTGGGTGAGGGGCCAGGGTCCTGTATAACCATGACTGCCCTGTGGTGGGCTGTGTGGCCCCCAGAGAGAGCAGTATGTGCTGAGCAGACACCCCCAAGAGCATTTACTCCAGGGAGCTCCGAGCTGGAAATAAGGCCTGTGTTAGTCCTGGTGTTGCCTCAAGAAATCCCTTCCATCTCTGGGTCTTTATCCACTTCTGTCTGCTAGCGTTCACCCAGTGCTTTCTCCAGGCCTTTCTGTTGGTTTTTGTTTAAGTTTGCTTTTCTGTGGGTATTTTCAGAGACTTCCAAGAACACCAAGACGTGGGAAAGATAACATGTCAAATAAACAAGAGAGAATCCTGAAACAAATCAAACAGGCTTATGAGCTGTGGGATTTGAAAAAGACATACCCTTTTGACCCTTTAAGAATTTAAAACTAAATTGCATACCCTTTAAGAATTTAAAACTAAATTCTTAGATTTAGACTGCAAAGACAGGAGTCCAA